AACCGGCCAGCCCGGCCCCCGGCCCCCGGTGCCGGACGGCTGCCCGCAGCTGCAGCCGGGGGCTTCTCCGCCGGCTGGAGGGCAGAGCAGCCTGCAGCGAGGCGCGAGCCTTCCCTTACCCATGACGTGTATTCTTTCATTTGGTGCTGGTTGCTGTGGGAACCGCTGGCATGGCCCCTCCAGAAGCAGTCCTGACAGAGCTGGTAATTGTGACACTGCTGGCAGCGGTAGCGAAACCCCATCATGCTCTCGCTGTGGCAGTAGGAACACTCCACGGGGTGGAAGACTGTGCAGGAGGAGAGAGAAATGCTGAGCCGTAAACCAACGCAGAGAAACTCCCAGCTAAACTTTACTGACAAAGCCTCAAAGTGAAGGGAGAACCCCTTCTTCGTTTCTAGTGACCTGCAGCATGGGATGCCACCTGCAGCTCTGACCCATGGAAACCCAAGTAGCCACCCAACAAACTGCGCTGAGCCACTGGCAGTGCCTCCTACACCGGGCACCAAGCCCTTTGCCACTTCTGAGCTGACACCTCCTCCTCCAGCAGTGAAAAATGTGCTCAGTGTCTACCAGAATACATGAGCGAGGAAATTCAAACGTGGGAAAATCCATGGCAACCTTCAGCTGCACTACTGGAGGCAAGTGAGTGTTTTGCTGTGAGGAGCTAAAGTGATGCACCTCGGAGGAAAAGTCAAACCCAGGTGTCTGATTACTGGAAGCACAAAAATGTACTTAGGCATCTTGTTCTCTCTTAATTACTGCTGTTGCATCTGTACAACTGGAGTCATTCAGGTATCTATACATGGAGTTGAACAATCAGCTTTGGATGCCCAGATTTGGAAAGCTGGCCACTGAAGGGACCTGTGTGCTCCTGTTCATTTTTCCACTCAGAACCAGATAGGAATGAGAATTGAAGTTACTGAGCATGCAAAGGCACCAATCATGACATTTGCAAGCCCCTTCCTGGCAATGCCGCTATTTCTGTTCCTCTCTCTTCACTACAGCATGCACCCAATTTACCACAGGGTGCTGCACATCCACTTGTTCCCAAACACCTTCTGCTCCTCTGTGTGTAAGGTTCAGTCTGGGAGGATTTGGTTCAGTGTGGAGTGTGTCAAGTTTTTAAATCCTTGCCAGAATTTTGCAGCAGAAAGGGTTGGTGTTCTAGGCTGGGACACTGCACGAAGCTGGTGAGGGGCAGCGATGATTGACAAGAGCTTGAGAAGGGTGGGGTATACTGGTGGCTCAGTAGCCAAGGACTTGGGAACATCACCCATGGTGGTGCCTTTTAATGGCAGATGGGTTTATATAGTACAAGAACATGTAAAATTTTGTCCTTCTCCTTTTCTCACCAAAAAATATCTCCACACCTTCTCTTCCACCAGCCCCATTTTCTTGTTGGAAATTCAGTATAAATACTTTTATTGTCTAACAGGGTGGATATATAAGATCTTTTCTTCCTCCTGCTCACTCCCTCTTCTTTTTTCCTGCAGTGGCCCAAAGCTTCAGCTATGTTGGTTGAAACTACAAAGAAGCAAAACCACAGGAATATTCAACAAGCCCCTTACACATCAACCTCTGAGGGAAAACACTGGGCTGGAAAATTGTTTAGAAAAAATATCTTTTTATCTTGCTAAATTAATATTTTAAAATTTTAGTTGGAATAACGACTGTCAGCATCATTGTCTCCTGATGATCATAAGCAAGAAATGCCAAATTAGGCACAAGAATACCCAGATAAATAAGACATTAAAAAGGCATTTCTTGTCTCATGTTTTTTCTTCTATATACTATTGGCAGTGCTGGTCCTTCTGAACAGCAGAAGCTGGTTAGATTGAAGCTGGGGAACTCCTCCAGAACTACACAAGGAGCTGTACAGAGTCTGCAGGCGGCAATTTGTTGAGGCACACAGTGAGGTGAGATGCACAAGCTTTCTAGTTCTGCCCCTGCACTTTCAGAGTGGCAGAACCTTCTACAAAAACTGTATACAAAGGGTTTGGCTGGAGGACTACATCCCTGCTCCTGTGAACTTTTCCCCAGGTGCACAAGAAGCTGGAAGGCTGACAAAGATATTATTGTCCAGGGACGTGTAATATGTATTAGGAAATAATCAAACTAGTTGATCCTCATGGTCCATTTCATGGTCTTAATATCAGGGATCTACTAATTTGAGGAAAGACAATGCTTGAGGAGAAAGAGTCAACTCACAGCTAAATCTTCATCATCCATAGAAGTAAAGGATATAGACAAATCTGGAACCTCCTTGCTCCTTTTCAGAGTATATTGTCTGGCAGTGTAGGCTTAGAAAGAGATCCTTCATAAGGACCTTTTGGCTGGTGTTTTGCACTGTACTGGACATCTCCTGCCAAGAGTATTGCACAAACAGAAACTGCCAAGCTGTTTCTTCTCTGCTGCCATATGTCATAGTTAATAAAAACTGTGTCCTTGATAGTTTACCAAATATAAGTGTGTGACTGGATCAAGTTCTATCACTCTTTGCTTATCCAGAGCACACCAGGCGAGGACATGATCAGGATAATACCCTGAGCATACCAAAAACTAAGACATGTTCCTGGCTGAGTGACCAACAGGGTTCTTCAAATATTTTAAAGGTGACTGTAAAAATAGCACATGGAGTCAATGAACCCAGTACAGTAGCTCCTACAAAACCCTCTAGAGAGTGAGAAAATCCTCACACAAAAGTTTACTGTTGCAACTGTTTTTGGCAGCTGCTCTTACTTACCATTTTCAACATTTGCCAGTCGATGCAGAAGTGGTAACCACACTAGACACTGTGGCGGGGGATCAGACATGAGAGTATCCAAGAAAGTGTTTAATGTGACTTTTTTCTGCTCAAACAAGCAAACAAACATGCACAAAGAATCAGTAATTAGACACAGCAAAATGATTTTACCTTGTCCTTTCAGAAACACTTGGGAACAAGTTTCAGACACTGTTTACTTGTTGATGTGGTTTACCAAAAAGAACAAGTGATACTAGCAAAGCTTTTCCAGACTCTTTTTAGTAGTTACAATGTACACTACTGAAGACCAGCAGTCCCTTTCCACAAGGCTGGGTTGCACACACCTAGCTTCCATTCACTTCGAGACTCTCTTCTAAAGTCATTGCCTGAAGATGCTTTGTGAATAAAGTCAGCATTTCAGCTCTTCGTGTTCTCATGTATTTTGAGTAACCCATAACAAGTCCAGGAGCATGCAGGGCATCCCTGTACATTACCAGTATTCACATGAAAAGCCACTGAGGGGAATGACCGATGGTGCTCCAACAGAGAAAGAAAATAATGACAAGGGGGTATAATTTCAAAACAAACACAGGGTAAGGACAGACCACCACAGGCAATTGTGCTACTGTAATTTAAGAAACTATGCTTGTCTGCTGAGTGGTGGTAATTAGTTATGGGTGAGCTGCGGTTATGAGATGTTGTGTCTGCATACACTCAGGGATTGCAACTGCTCCTAAACTCTCCACACCTGTAAGCACTTCAAGGCCTGTGCCCCTTCATCTTTCAATGAGATTTAAAGTCTAAAATATTGATTTTAGACTGATTTTAAAATGTTGATTTAAAAAATGTAACCTAGGGCCTTAAGTTTCTTAGGCATCTAGGAAAAGCCAGCACAAATCTTAGCTGACTTGTTACTTTCTGATCTACAGGTGATATTCCAGCCTGAGATACCTCCACCATAAACACTTGCTCTTTCCTTCCTAGGACACTGGCTACATAAGTGTGTACTAAAGTACTACTGGGTGGTCAAGGACAGAGAATCTTCAAGAAATCAGCAGCTGAGCCTTCCTTTAAAATAAAATTAAGATGCAAAAATACTGAGCCCTACTGAGAATGTGTGCAGATATAATTTATAGACATACATATTTAAGTAACATCCTCATATCCAAAGGGATTGCTGAATTTTCATATCTGATTGCATAAGTCACTGCTTTAACTTGCTAAAGAACTGTGGTTACCCCATGAGGAAACAAAACAGCAGCTCTGCAGTGACACGTATCATCTCCGTGTGTTGTGGAGTGCTTTAAAGAGCTGAGATTCCCAGATGGAGTGTCTGTGCTGCATTTATATACAATTGCCACCAGATGTAAAGAAAAACAATATTTTTCTTATACAGGGAGTGATCAGTGGAAAACATCAGACTCTGTAAACACAGTCTCGGGGCTGACATCTTGCAAGATATAGGGAAATACATAAAGGTAGTTGTCCCTAAAAGAAGAGAAAATACTTCAGGCTGGTTGTGAAAATGAACAGATATAGCCAGAACAGGAGCTTTAAATCTCATTGAAATACTACCTTTTCCCACAATACCTGCAGTATGAAAGTCCCAGCAAACAGCTATCACCTGCTTGTATGAATGATCTTCCTGCCTATGGAGAATGGATAATCACTTCCCAAGTAGGCACCCTATGCTGTAAGCATCAGCTGACAGAGAAGGATCTTTCCTTGGGAGCTCTGCTGTGGATGTTTGGCATGGCTTTGCTGACCCATGTGAGCAGCAAATGTCTGTGCTGTCTGCAGCAGAACTGAGAACAGGAGGAGAAAAAGCAAAATGAAGTCTAGGAAAAGAAGGGCCCTCTAGTGACCCATACTGCAGTTCTGAGTAGCCTTAAGTCTTCCCTCTGCTCTTGAAGACAGATAAGTTGGCAGCAAACTCACAACTCGTCTAAACAAGCAAATATCTGGGGACACAAGAACAGCCCTTCCACAATGGAATAGGCTTTTGAATGCAGAAATAATTTAAAACCAAATTGCACCAAATAAAGCAACTTAGTTTCACTGACAGCTTAATGGCTGAACTTCTCTGGTGGTCACTGATTTTATGGATTAGAGTGAGCAATATCCCTTAAAATTACACCAGCAGAGCAATTTCCATACATTTAAAAAGGCATATTTTCCTCCTGCAGTCCTTTTTTTTCTGGGAAAGTTGAAACTGAAAGCTGTTTTCTAAATATATGCCACATGCAGATGGAGTCTAGGTTTGTGGAATAACACTTAGCCAAGTGCTAAGAAAATTAAGTTAGTGTGTATCTTTTTAGACTGGGATAAAAAAAAGAGAGAAATAAAAAGTGGTTTCTCATAATAGTTACAAGATTAAAAAATATAAATACAGTATGACATCACATTAAGGTTACCTATGGGGGAAAGTGGTGGCAATCAAAATCCTTTTTGAACCACAGATTTGTATTCTGAAACGTTAAGTCACTTGTTCTGGCATTTCTGTTCTATAAATTTTCTAATGAGGAAACACTGTTGTTTCTATTCTGAATAGCCACTCAATCTAGCAGTCATCCACAGACAGTGAAAAACACATAGTTTGATCAAGTAAACCAGAACAATGGGGAATAATAAAGCATTTCTGCAATGGGAAAAATCCTTTCAGATACAAACTGAAACGGACTTCACACAATGAGCAGAAGATCATTCCCAGAATTTTTTATTTCCTTGAAATTGAGGAATCTATGTATCAACTGAAAGGCTTCTGGTGTGCAAATGGGATCCATATTGAGACCAACAGAGAGAGTGCCAGACTTTTCGCAGGGTATCAACTTTTGATAATGCTAAGTGCATAGGAGACGGTGAAAGATTGACATAAAGTGTGACTAAGACTGTAAATATCATTTATCATTGGGATACACTGTTTTGAGTTCCATCTTCACTAAGCTGTAATGAGAATGACATACAGTGAATTTAAGTGAAATAGTAGACTAGATTTACATGTGCACTTGGCTGCCTATGGATGCTAAACAGCAGCTTTGTAAATCCACTGGGTACCTACATCACTCGGAGACCCAACTCCCATTAGCTTTCAGCAGAGGTTGTGTACCAACCCACGACTGCTTGGAGACTGCTTCTTAAGGCACCTAAGTAGATCCACTCATTTGGATGCAATGTCAATGAAAATGCCATTTCTGATGGCTGCTTATATAGCAAATGAGTCCTGAATGACATTTTTTCAAGCAAATAAATGGCTTTTTTGATCTCTAATAATACCATGTCCAACACACAGAGCTTGAATGCCCTGTTATCATACAGGAGCACTCCTTTATTTGAATACAAACTACCAGTCACTTCACTATGTAAATTCTTCAACATAAGATTAAGTGCTGTCTTAAGTCTCCCTCTGTGAAACAAGATGAATTTCACATATGAAAGCATTACCATTTAAAATTATTTGGGAGATGATTCAATAAATGAATTCCAACAATGTAATTCAGCTGACTGGAGTGCCTACTGATGAGTGATGAAAAAAAAAAAGGGACTCTATTTTGCATGAAAATGACACTATTCCCGCTCCATTCAATCTACCTGTTCAACAGTATTCAGTTAGCTAATGGAAGGATAAAGAAAAGGCAAATACCACTTTATTTTTAACATTTTGCCAGTTTCAGCATCTTCTCTTACTTATATATTCCATATTTATATTCTTCCATATTTATGGAATTAAAGAGTATGATGTGTGGCAAGACCTAGAGGAATTCTCACTTCCTCTGGTGGAGAAGTGGACAACTAGCCCCAATTATGGGACCTTTTGAAGTGCTGGAAATTAGCTGCAGCCAACATTCAGACACCTACAGAGTGTGGTACATTGTGGAAAAATCTCATCTTCTCTTTGGCATAATTTCATCGTTTCCTGAGCCTATCTCATTGGTGGTATCTGTAAGAGAGTAGGGATGTTTTAATACTTACTGCCTCCCATTCTAAATAAAGATTTAAGACAATTTTCTACTCACTCATAAACTTCTCATGTGTGTCTACCATCACTTGGAAAACATGGAGTTTGATGTTCTGGTGAAAGCTGAGCTTTGTATGGAGAGGTTAAACTCTCACACATACTTGTAGCAACACCAACTAACCACAGGAGAGGACGGCATGTTTTGGGTATTTATATCACCTAAATGTACCTAACTTAAGCTCTTAAGTTAGGAAGTTAGTCTACTCGGGCTTCCTAATTCAGGAACACATAAGGTAAGAACCTGCTCTGAATCACATTTTGACTAAGCCTCTTTCTCCTCCATGGTTCTATGGGGAACCTATAGAGACTAGTTTCCTATTGAAGGCACCAAACCTACGCGCCAGAAATGAGCAAAGTGGATGTCCTCTCCACTCAGCCATGTGTTCATTTACCTGTTGTGAGAAACAGGATTTTGCTGATTGTTCAGTATAACCAAATGAAGGCCCTTCGAAAACAGCTGTGGGCAGCTTGAGAACCTCCCGTAGAAACATGTCGTATCTGCCATAAACCATCACTCCACTGGAGTCAGAAATCATTGAGAAAATATCTGAGGGGAGAAAAGACAAGAAAAGGACACAATAACCTCAGTATGAGCTACAGATTTATTCTGAATTCAGTCAGTATCATTTGATTTAAACCAGAAGCGCTAAACAACATGTTCTGCTTAGGAAAACCTCCACTATTACTGTAACTTTAATTATAGTTCCTCTCAATAGAAAACAAAAAGAATTCTTGACATATAAAAAGTAACTGATTTGATATTGAAATATCTTGGTTTTTTGTTTGTTTGTTTGTTTGTTTGTTTTAAATTGTGTGTGGTCAGTTTTTAAAGCAAAGTCTGATGCATGGCATGAGGCAGTAATTTAATCAATTATGAAGGATCTAACTTGACAAGATATGCAACATCAGCTTTTTGCCTACTGCCAGCTCACCATGTCAAATCTAAGTCTTGACAATGAGTTAATCATGTCAATTATTATTGTTTTGGACACACAAAGCACTGAAGGTCTTTCAAAGAAGCTTCATGATGCTGAACATTTGAATCACTTACCTGTACTCTGAATTCAATCACCCCAAAGAAAAAACAAACAAACAACCACCAATCAGAACCTCAGTATCTGCAACTTGCCTTCAAAAATATGAAGACCAGTGTGAAGTTCAGACAAATATTTAGCAGGATTTACTTGGAGATACATACAATGCAAATCCCAAGAACAGCCATGAAACTATACCTTATTCTAATTCCTTTTTTCCCTACTCCTACTGTCATGTCCCAAAGTACAACAATGATTAACAGGCAAAAAAAGTCACCCAAAAGACGTACATCTTAATTTGTCCATGATCTTTCCTCCACAGAGAGTTGCCAAGGCCATTTTGACAGCAAAAACGGAAATTTTACCATGTCCTTCCCTGTTCAAAAGTAGAAAGCAGACATATATTATAATATGGACCTCTATGAATTAAAAAAGTATATAACTGACATGCAATATTGTAATGCACACTGTATGTGGACTCACACGGAAAGAAATAAGACCTCTAAAATCAAAGTTTGTATCTTCAGTATGTTATTCTGTAAAGATCTCAGAACAGTTTTATTATATATGTGAAGCTCAGTATTAAACTCAATTTCATTATACACTAGAGTGATGACTATTACTGCTATTTGTGCAGTAACTGGAAGGCACCTGTTGCACTCCTGGTCTCCCTATCCTAAGTGCACTGGGTATCTTCTGTCCCTAGAAAACTGCAAGTATGTGCAAAAATCAACACTGGGAACAAAAATTTAAAAAACCCCAACAAACAGAAAGGGTTCACATGAGCACACAAGCTATGTAATTTACCTGTTAATAAATCCTGACAACTGCCTTTAACACTGAACCCTCATGAACCTTTAAGAAGGACTCTGCTGAAAAATGGGGAATAAACATGCATACAGAATGAGCAAAGGAGATTCGTTGTGATCTGTAGAACAGTCTTGTCCTTGTTTTCTTCAAGTTGAGGCTAAGCCTGGCTCTCTTGTTTTCCACTTAAAATGTGTAATGCTATCAGACCCCAAATGCCTACAGGAGTATGCTTTGGGGCAAAAAGACTTCGATTTATTCTATAAATGTAGGCACTTTCAAGTGAAAATAAGATACTTTGTTTTCTCCCTAGAAGAGTCAGACCACACACTGCGCTCTTAGGATGCTGTGTTCACCTTTAGCACATTGCCAACTCTTCCTTCAGCTGTCTCAACACATGCAATGGCTTAACTTAATTAATTCTCTTGCTGTCCTCATCCTCCTTCCCACTCTTGATAGTCCCCAATGATTACCTGCCATTATATGAACCTTGGTATATCTGAGCTGCGTGAGTAATACGTGACTTCACACATTGCAAGACACTCTAAAAACATTCCTGAAAGACCTATCCCTCCAGTTTAGCCTAAACCAAGTCCAGAGAGTTGACAGGAATGGCAGAACAAACGCACTGCAATGCTCAGTCCCTTTCCAAAGCTGAGAATGAACATGCCCTCTTATGTTCATGATGCTGTTTAATGTTCATGTTTTTGGCATAAAAATGTTGGAGTGTGTGTTTTTTCCTCAGTCTTACTTATCCACAGTTACACTAGGGCAATTCTTATCTATCATCCAAACTCCTTAGCACAACTTAATAGTTTCCTATATGTCTTGTTCTCACTGTATTCAGTGAGAACACATTGCCATCATGCTTTAAAAAAGACACACAGTCAGCCAATATTTGTGAACCTTACAAAATGGCATCCATATCTCCTAAATTCTGCTGCTAACGAGGGGACAAGATAATAATTTTTTGTGTCATTTTTAGGAAGTGGAGCTTCTGTGACTTTCAGTCTTTATCAGGGAACATTATGCTTATAAGGAATTCCCTGCTAGAATAGATATGTCTTACATAAGATAGTCTAAGTGCAGGGGCAATAGCAATGTATAGGAATTTAGCTCTCCCCATCAATATTTATGAAATTACTCTGTTGATTGTCCCTCACCATTCTAATGAAGAAAATCATGTCTGATCAGAACTAAAGGATAAACTGATTCTGGAAAGACACAGACTGCATCTTTCTTCATTAAGTCACTCAGACTTTAGAAAATGAGTCAGCTGCCTAAGTTGGGCTAGCTAATCATCTTCATACTGCATTTAGTTCTAGCTCAGTGTAACCCACAATTCTAAATAATAATTCTAACTACTCTTCACAGACATTTAAAATTATGCTTTTTGACAGAAAATCCACCAGAGATGCTCACATAAAGAACTGAATTCACAACTTCTTAGCTATTTAAGAAATAAATCTTTGCTATGTTCTTCAATGTCGGCTTTTGTGCACGTATTCTTTTCCATTACATTGTGTTCTCATTGACTGGCTTCATAAGATTAAAATGACACTACAGAAATTTCAGAGTATCTTCCAGTCTTCTGTATTTCAATCCTTAGTTGGCTGGATTTTAATTTCTGTAAAACAGGACGTAGCACTGCTGCAGCTATGGCTAAGAATTTGGCCATGTTGTATTATTTTTATGCATGCTACCCTCTAGGCTGCTGGGAATTCTTCTTCACTGTTTCATCATGAGTTTCTTACCTGCATTTAAAAGAGTTGTTATACTTAAGAAAAATAAACATTAATTGAAAGTGATGGTATTATTGAGAAGCAATGGAAGCACTAGAGGAAAAAACAAAGCCCAGGTGGAAGTGTTTCAGATTTAGATTATTTTTGCCAGTAGGTTCAGTTACAGTTACTAACAGGATTATATTCTTGAATGGCAGACACATATCAACTTGCCTTCAGCTTTCCATCCTAGAACCATTGGCTTTTCCCACACTCAAACGCTTGTTATGGAACAGAGGAGCAGGAAAAGAAAATATTTAATTTATTTTTTCAGTCTGTCCATTTGAGATTATTATTTTTAACACTGTATTTTGTATTGGTCATTAGTATTCATAAAAGCATCACTAGAGGCAGTATAAATTTAACTTGCCCTTCAAATGTATGTGTGTGTGAATACATATATACACATGCATACATATATAAATATATATATCACTGATGATGATGATGATAGGATAATAGGGCCTAAGAACTGTCAATACCATTTGGATCCAGAAGAGCCTTAAGCTATGTCTAAGCACTACAGATGTCCTTGACTGGCAGCACTGGGGCCTTGCAGTGTTTGCTGTGTAAAAGCACATTGTGAAGCAGTGGCTCACAGTAGCATGAAGATGTCTATTGAAGTTGGTGCTCCCTGAAAGAAGATTTAGGCTGGATAATGCAAAGAGATATAAATTTTAGTAGTGGATACAGTAGAGGATCAAAAATATTTTGATTTTATGTAGCAGCTCTCTTACTGAGGTTACTCCTCAGATCCCTACAGAAAAGCATTAGAAGCATAAATGACGGCAAAGGCAAACCTTGAAGCTGATGTGCACTGTGCAACCACACAGGACCGAGTACTTAGGAAAGGGAATGATGGCCAGGGCTTAAGGTTATCTCCTGCTGCTTGGGGAAAAAAGGGCAAAAATATAATATATGCTTTTAGACACCAGAGCAGAGGGTTTTCTCTTCAAATGCATGGCTGCTGAGAGCAACAGCCTCCTCCCAGAGCAAGAAAGCCCCATAGACTGCCAGATAAAATCCACACCATGCAAGGCTAAGTCCAGCTCCAGGGCCTGAATTTGCCCTTTGGGTCAGCAAGGAGAGTGGAACCAAATGGATGCCACTGACACTCGTCAGAATCCCTAGCACTTCTCAAATGAGACAACCATATGGTGGGGAAATCTATATGGAAGTAACATCTTTAGAAATAGCAGATGTGTCCCATGAAATGGACACTGAGAAAATAATTTTCTCATTAACTAGCAAGAAGTGGTGTTCCTCCAACACTTTAAGTTACCTTTTCCAAAAGTAAGAACATTTCTTGATCACTTGTGGGCCTCCTACTGCCCACCTTAATCAAGGCAGACAGTTCTGAAATGTCAGAGGTTGTAATTACAAATCCCCATTTTCACAAATGGGTTTTCAGAGAGGAAATTTTAACTAGAACTAAATAAATGGGACAGTGTTATGCTTATTGGATTTTAAATTACGTTAGCTTGTCCCTTGTGGACCTTTCATGTTTGTGGGGTCGTTTAGCCTGGAGAAGAGGAGGCTGAGGGGAGATCTTATGGCTGTCTGCATCTACCTGAAAGGAGGCTGTAGTCAGGTGCAGGTTGGTTTCTTCTCCCTAGAAACAAGTGATAAGACAAGAGGAAATGGCCTCAAGCTGCACCAGGGAAGGTTTGGATTAGGTATCAGAAGAAATTTTTCTCTGAGAGGGTCATTAAACAGTGGAACTGGCCGCCCAGGGAGGTGGTTGATTCACCATCCATGAAGGTGGCTAAGAGATGTATAGATGTGGTGCTTAGGAACATGGTTTAAGCACTGGACTTGGTAGAGATAGATTATGGTTGGACTCGATAATCTTACAGCTCTTTCAACCAGAACTATTCTGTGATTCTGTGCACCCTGCTCAATGCACCATGACAAACCAAACTGCTGCTTGGCAAATGGGGTGAGGGTCACAGCCTCCTCATCCCCACAGGTCCTTATGGGAGCCCAGAAATAGGTCACAATCCACGGCACACGGGATGTTTTCAGCGAAAGCAAAACCTTTCACCTTTAAGCACATTCTGTTTCCCTACAGGGGAGTAAATTCCTCTCCTCTGCAAGCACACTTGACATCTAGCTGAGATCTCTACTGCTGTTACAGAGAGCTACAAAACAAGCACATTATTGCAGATCTTGTTTCCATGGCCCTGGGTCCTTCCCTGTGTTTACCAGCTTGGAAGCAGTTTGCCTGTGGCATGCACCAACATGCATGTCCAGCCATTTTCATCTTCCTTTTAGTGGAAGGGCAGCCATGTCATGGCCACAATGCTAAAAATTAAAATGTCTGTTCCTCCTTTTACAGCCCTCCAGGAGAGAAAAATATTCCTGAAGGCTACAGTTTCACAATGGATTGTCTTCTTTTTTGTTACCCTCAGAGGGGCTGGAAGGGAGGTTGGCTGCAGCATCTACTTTTACTCACTGTTGCCATGGCAACTGAGCTGCCGGTTGGTCTGGCTCAGAAAGGTGCACAATGGTACCCAGCATGGGGACCCTCAAGAGAGAAGATGGGTAAGAGGGAGGGGAAAAGGCGTAGCATGCTTACTTGAATGCATCATGGGCAATGTGTTCAGCTGGTGAATTTTCAAAATACAAGCCTATAAAGAGGCAATGGGCCACCTGCATTTGTCAGATTTAACCACTGTTCTCCAATAATTTGGCTTTGAGGATGGCAAATGTTGCAGTACAGGTTGACGACTGTGTATTCAGAAACATTAATATGTATACACAGCATACTCATTACAGTAAGTGGTTTGTTCTATCTCAAACTTGTCCTTTTTGTAATATAGGTCCCATGCAGTAATAAACAACATGAATTTCAGCTTCCCCTCCAGGTCTTTATTTTATTTCTGTCACAGTCTCAAAATCATGCTGCACTGGCACGAGCCAGAAAAAAATATCTGCTTACAGCTGCACAAACTTGCAGGAAAATGAACTCTTTCAAAAGAATGAGCTATTAACCCATGTCACTGCTGCAGAGGCATTGCAGTGGTGTCAGCCACTGGTGTGTCAATAAATAACAAGGCAAATTAGAAGTGGATGTAAATTTGTTTCTGTAGATAATTCTTCTTTGATATAAACTGGAACAAGTCTGAGTAACTGGATGAAAACACAGTTGTGCTGAATTTGACTTGGCAGAAAGGAAGGCAGAGG